CTAAAAGGCATCTAAATCCGAAAATTTAAATCTGTGTCAATAGATTAAGAACGTCCACGTGCTTAATGCTACGTATGGGTTTTATGAAACTCACATTAACATAAAACTTATGAGGTAATAAACACACGTATTAACAGACTCAACAATAGCTTCCCTCTTTCACGTGAAAACCGCAATTCCATACGTACGGTTATAAAGAAGGCTAAGTTTTTTCTGATTCATGAGAAAAGTCGGAACTCGTCCTCTTTTTTTTTTTTCCAAGTATTAAATTGTAACGCACGGTTTGAGACTGGCACTAGTTACGCACGCGAAAACATTTTTTTTTTTCAAACCAAGCCTTCCCTCATATAAAGTTCACCATCTAGCCTGCAAAATGCTCCAAAATAGTTTTTCTTTAAGTATCGTCTTCAGCAATCCCTCGACTGACGGCGGTAAAAAAAAAGGGAAACATCACTTTGTATTTAAAGGAGCTACGTCACGACTTGCTCATCTTGAAAAGTTTAGTATAAATTTTTCAAGTTCGTCGTTTGCAATCCCTGTCAATCTTCTCCATCCTTAACCATTCTTGCTCTTTTACGGTTTATTATTATCTCTTTGGTGCTTTTCTGTCGTCAGTTAGTAAAATTAGTATTTTTTGATTTCCTTTAGCTTGCGAACAGGCTCCCGGCGAGGACGGAAAAAAAAGTCGCCGAGCGCGAAACGGAAGAAGCGAAGCGATCAGTCACCGAGAGCCTGTTCCAATGCTAGGTTTTCTTCAATTTAAAGGCAATTTTGTACGTGGCCAAAATAACTCAAAATACCGTGACTGAGCTCCTTTAAATTTTTTTTTCTGCGCAGTTAAAGAGAGACACCACTCCATGGTTGCTTGGGACATTTTAATTATACTAGGCCATGTAATGAACAAACGTTACAAAAGTCAGCGTTCCGTGTTCTTCACTGTCACTTAGTTAAATGTAATAAGTTTAAGAGCTACCAGTGCTTTATGTATTTAACCAAATTCTCTTCAGACTTGTTATAATATTTTCCAGGCTTTCAAATAGCACTTTTAAACGTTACACTTTGAACGTTATGTGCGGGCAGGATATATAAGGTGCTGTACCTTCCCCTTTCAGGTACGCTATAAACGCGGGCTCTGTATACGACACATCTACACTGTTATGCCCGTAAATATCATTGAACGCAGTCCATTCGCGCTGAACGTGAGCGCAAAACTTCTCCACCACACGTACCAGTGCATTAACTACAGCAAAAACTAATAAGATGCCAAGAAAGCCAAGGTAATTAGTAATTTTCCCAGCTCCAATTTGGCTGTTAACTGAGTCGTGTGTAGCTGAATCTTGAGTATAATTCTCGTGGCAGTCATGACTCTGGTGTTCACCAGCAAAATTTCTTTTGCCAGAAGACTCTCGGCGAGGAGGTTCTGTTGCACCTGGAGAAACTTTCTCTGTGGTGTTAAAACTTCTCTTTCTGCGGTAAACCAGTTCCTCAACTGGTGGAGGCTTCATCCGCAAATCTGTTTTACTTCTAACCACGCTCCTTTGCTGAAAAGATGGTGCGAGTTTCTTGACTTTGCGGGCTTTTTTGTTGTTCTTCTCTCGAGTTATTTTCATAAGATGATGACTTTCCGTTGCTGTTTGCTGACAACGTACATTAGGGTCTGGGATCTCGCCTTTTATGTACGCTATAAATGCGGGATCTGTATGCTGCTCGACCGCCGCGCTGTCTCCTTGAATATCACTAAACTCCTGAAACTCACTTTCAACGTATGTGCAAATCTTCTGCGCCCAGAGTGTCGCCGTCTTCGCCAAGACATTTGTTACACAAGGAATACAGGGACAACTGACAATGGAGAAATTACGCAGAACAGACCCTTCGCTTTTCATCTCTGACTCCATTATTCTCGGATTATATGAACAAATATATCCTTTTAGTTTGTCTGTGACGTTTCATCTTTCTTCTGTTCCGTCATTTACCGACAGCTTGCGCTCGCGTACATGCACGCGCGACTTGGCGCGCGCTCCGTCGTAACCGTGCAAATGTACCGGGACGTTTTTTGCCTCTTTCGGGCCTTTTCAGAAATCACGACTCTCTGCTTAAAAAACGAGAAACATGATTTACTGATAAGAAAGTCATGCACGTTTTTATGATCGAGGCGGCAGCGCAGACAACTGAAGGACAACAGGTTTCTCCCGAGCTAACTGGGGAGGTGGTTCGTTAAACCTCTGATCTGCAGCAGGGCAGAAGATTTCTAACATCTCTGAATTTTTTTTTCTTTTTCTTTTTGGAATTTAGGCCGTTGTTCACGCGAGTCGCGAACTTTATCATTAGTTGAGAAAGTTTCCAGTTTAAAGCCATGTTATTTTCAAACGAATCGAAGAAACGATAGGAAAAACAGTTAATGGAGGGTATACAGTTTCGAACTGACAACCTTGCTCCCAGGCAAAGTACTGCAAGTCGCTTCAGGCGTCATGTTACGGAAACCAGTAAAAGCTGAGGTTGTACCTGAGTAGGGTACATTTTTGTTCGAGCGCACTCTTTATCTTTTACGTGATTATATTTCACAGGATTGATTTAAGTCACACAAATAAGTACTACAGGGATGGAGGTCTACTAATGAAGTTGTTCTCTAAAATGACAGTAGATTGACAGATATTACCCCAGTATTTTTTCGGGAGTGGGTCAAAAGTACTCCGTCACCCATTTACACTTCTTGGTAAAGAGACAGACTGCAACTCAAAAGAGGTCTCAGTGCGCAAACACAAAGCTCATTGACCGCAGTCAGAATACTCGATCCACCACTGAATCTCCGAGCGTCCCCATTCCATGACATATTAGCCACGCCCAATCTGAGTCTATGCGCGCCAAACTGTTTTGCTCGACTAAAAAGGAGCTACAGCACGGTTTTCGCACCTTGTAAACTTGAACCTAAATTATTCAAGTTCGTCGTTTGCAATCCGTGTTCATCTTGTCCATCCTTAACTATTCCTGTTCCTTTATAGTTTATTATTATCTCTTTGGTGTTTTACCATCTTAGCAAACTATTATTTTCAGGTTTCCTTCAATTTAAAGGTAATTTTGTACGTGGGGCCAAAATAACTCAAACTACGTGACTGCGCTCCTTTAATCGCTTCACGAAGTCAAATCCGCTCGATCACTTACCTTAGTGTCTTGTAAGGCTTGGTCGATAAGTCCATATCAAACCAGCATAATCGACGATCATAGCTTCCCACAATCAAATTGTCACCTGAGAAAAGTATGTAAAATATGTTTATATTGTGCAAGACTTGAGCCTTAACTTCCACTGATGAGCAAGTACAAACAAACTATTTACAATGTAGCGGTACCGAATTCATAGTGACATGAATCTCAACACAGAGAAAACTGAAAACCCCCACAAAGTTTGCCTTTTTTCCCTAAAAGAAAAACTTCCATTCGCTTGTTTTCTACCAAAAACAGTACAGAATGTAGCTGATTAATGTGCAATTTTAAAAATTGTATTTCGTGTTCGGGATGAGAAAGAGTATTATCTACCTTTAGGATGAACAGCCATGCTGGAAATCCACTTCGCGTTTGAAACGAGTTTCTTTGTCAGTTCTTGTTTTGTGAGGTTGTATACTCTAATAAAACGCTGTGTCTAATGAAGAGAAGGAAATTATAGACAGTTAGGAAAAGGAAAGATCTCAAACATCCTTATTTCATTCCAAAGCAGTTGCACATGTTCAAGAAAAGCATAAAGTTGTCTGGTTTAAGTTGTCCCACATTCTCAAACAGCACTCCAACAAGAGAGGATCAAGGTAATCTTGGAGCTTTCTAGTCTAAAGCAGTACAACGCCCCTTTAAGTGGGCGTTATTGGTCACATAACAGATGTACAAATAGCCTGACTTTCTCAAAAACGTAAAGCTTTCATTGCCTTGTATGTTTTGTATTCGCTTTCCTTGTGTGTTTAGGAGTTTTCGGAATACAAAATACGTGTAAATTGAAACGTTCATTTATGCCACTGAGTTCTTTACTACTTACAGCAACGAATAGAAATGGTCTCGTTGGGTGGAACAACACACGTTGGATCAGGCCTTTGGCTTTCTTGAAAGGACACTGAGAAACGGAGAGCACATCATTTGGTCAATATGACCTGTGACACTGACACATTCTGAAAACATTGTTAGAGGCAAGAACCACTATTACAGTTCTACGGAAATCTTCAATCTATTCTGTTGTGTACAAGAACTTGCACATGGGGAATTATGGTAACCACTTTGTCAGAATGACCTAAATGATTTCTTTGCAAGTCATTCTACAGGTTAGCCGCTTTAACCTGCATTAAGTACTACTGCAAGAAAGTAAGGCTGTAACAGCAGTCTATATAAAGGCTATCTTGACAAA